CTCATGTTACATTTGTCGATATTATAGGTTCTCCTGAATAGTCATTTTTAATCATTATATCTCAGTTTATGAGACAAAGCGACATTTTTTTCTGCCAAATTCTTTCATTTCGTGCAAAAATATGTCGAATAAGCCTAATTTTATCGAAATCAGAGATAACCGTAAACTGAATATCAAAAATTTTATGCAATTCTTTATCTTTTTTAAGCGCATTACTTACAATTATTCTCATTAAATATTTGCATTAGATATGTATATGTATATAACTTATATAAGTTAGTTATTCTTTTATATTTTATATCAATAATATAATTTACAATAGTTTATAATGTCTACAAGTATATAAAAAAAAAGGATGTGTGTAAACATCACGTAGACTACATGAAAATAATCTAAAGGAAATCTATAGCGCAACTCTAATATATACTACGTTTATACGGCGACGTTAATCTGGCTTAGTAACAACCATAGGTAATAAAATCTCGCGTTAGATTGGTACGTTTTTTCAAATCTAAAATTATGATCCAATTAAGACCTGTTCTACAATGCATCGTGTGCCGGTATCGTGAGTCGTGGGCCGTAAGAATAAGCCAATCACAATCAAGTATTCTCCCCACATTCGACTGTGACTGGTCAATTCTTATCGCTTGCGGCTTGCGACACCGACACACGACGCATTGTAGAACAGGCCTAAAACTTATTGCACAATGCAGAAGCACAGGCAATAGGAACAGGGAATAGCGATAGACAACAGATTTTGATCAGTCAAAAATATCTCCGATATTCTTTCACAGCTTCTGATTGGTCGAAAACTGTTGCCTGTTGCTATTCCCTGTACCTTTTCATTGTGTCTCAGTCTTACAAGAAATCACTACAGTTGTTACTAAACCGGTTTAACGTCGCCGTGTAAACGCGATAATAGATTACACTAAAAGGAGACAAAAATATTCACATTCACAAGAACCTCTCTATCACTTTACAACTCTAGCGCCAGCGCACTTTCCAATATTATTATTATAGGACTTCAGTGGACGCAAGCGTGCGCGATGCGCTGTCGTCGACTGTATCAAAGATGGCTGCCACGAGCGTGGTACCGTCAAAGGTGCGCGAAAAATGACGGGTTTTCCGTGCTCTTGACGGCGCGATTGTATGTGCGCGCGCGAGAACAGTGTTGAGCGAGCGTTTCCTTTGCGTCGCAAATTAGGACGGCGCGACGACAGTGCCTCATCACCATGGCGTTAGTCACAGTGCAGCGTTCCCCAAGCGTGTCCAGTTCTCCGCAGAGCTCGGTGAGTTTCTGCGTCTCTTTTTCTCTCTCATTTCTTCGCACGTGCGCTTATGCGTCTCGTACAACCGCCGGTGCGTCGTGCTCTTAAACGGTTGTCAGTTACCAAGCCCTCTTCAAGTATCGCGTTATATTGTCCTGAAGTCGCGAGCGATTTGACTTCACACGATTTGGCTTGGCTTGGTTGGACTCGACTCGACTCGATTCGATGCGATTCGATTAAATTCGACTTGATTCGACTTGTTGGAGCTTGATTGGCTGATTATTTGGCGATATATTGACAACTGTAGGTAGAGTAACATTTAATTGATCAATCCAGACAAAAAGAACAAGATTTCTTAATTCTGATTGCTCAATTAAATATTCTACTCATCGAGTAGAATTTTGGAACATAGCCTAAGAGTGAAATTGAGAGAAAATTTAGAGTTTTTCCGTTATAACTAATCTTTCTTTCTACACTAGATTGTAACTGTTAAAACTTTTTATCTCGCTTTTATCAAACTTCTATTTTATTTTAAGTATAATGAATATATTTAGCTAAAAAAAAAAAAAAAAAAAAACAAAAAA